CACACAGGGACAGGTATCTTCATCAGCCCGACTGTTGTACTGGAGGGTGTGGGGTCCTCAGTGGGCTTATCTCTCCTTGTGTGGACGCTGTGTGGAGTTGTGACCTACTGTGCTGCCATGAATGAATGAATGAATTAATGAATGATCTTTATTTCCTCCATTAATTTCGGAGAGTGATATACATTTGGAATCATGTTAACACAGCATATTTACACGAACATTATATTATGCAGAGAAATTGGCAATACTGAATATTTACATGTCCTGGTCCTGGTATGAGATATACTGTCTATAGGTAGAGCAGTGATCGCAGGTTCCAGGAGCTTAATTATGTCTCGTGATACAGAAGATATGAATTCAGCCCATCTGTCAAGGCTCATATCCTCTACAATAGGGGTTATACCACCCAGCAATGTCACAAGTTTGACTTCGTCATCTGCACAGTCCTCAATACGCATGTATTGTTCGAGGTTTAAAGAGTCAAATAGATGTTCATAGAGGGTGTTCCTTGCATCAGCTAAAGCTGTACAACATAACAGTTGGTGCTTTATTATGTCATCGCATTCCTCATCACACATTAAACACTGTCCAGGTGTTATTGGTAGTGTTCCTAGTTTCACAAGTGCATACATTGGTCTAGTTGGTATATTGTACAGAATACACATATTCCACAGTCTATGAGGTACAAGCTTACTGTGAATTTTAATAAATCTGTTTAATTCAGGGTGATCTCGCAGACTCGTGTGCCAATGAGCAGTTTCATGTTCTGTTATTTTAGTCCGTACGGTTTTGTTCCACACATCCTTGGATGGAAACTGGTTAGTTTTCATAAAGTGAACTATTATGGTCCATAATTCATATTTCTTTGCCACATTGAGTAGATCATGTGTTACAGACTTACTTTTGTCACTGCCTGTTATATATTGAGCACACTTGAAATAGAACACCTTTTTCGGGGCATATCTGTGGCTGCTTCTACACATCCTCCCAAGGAACATCAGCTTCATTTTGTCAATCACGGATGTCATTGTCCACAATCCCAGCGTCTGAATACTTGCAACGGTCGAAGATCTTACATGAAAATTTTGTACATTACGTGCAAAGTAGCGCTGGAGTTTTTCAATTTCATTGTGTTCTGTCTTGGACATATTTGACCACAGTTCACACGCGTAGAAGGCACCTGGAATTATTACTCTACGCCATATGTTCATACAGCAGACTGGGTTCAGACCACCTGCTCTTAGACCAATATCTCTCAGGGAATTCAAATTCTTCCTCGCCTTAGCGCAAGCTCTCCTGGTCCTTTCGGATTCTAAATGAGTACTGATAATAGAACCTGCATATATTGTGTTCGATTTCATTTCCAGTATATGGTTACCTAGTCTAAAAGAACCTGGTTGGTTGATTTTGTTTCCACCTTTAAACACCAGAACACAGCTTTTTCTTGCATTATATGTCAATCTCCATTGGCAAGCATATTGATGTACAGTCTGTAAGGACATGCATATGCCACTACTTGTTGAGCTTATGAGAGTTGTGTCGTCCGCGAGTAGGACAACTGGGAAGTGATCACGTCCAAGCATAACACCTTGTTTCAAATGGTCAAGGCGGATTATAAGCTCGTTAATATACACAAGGAACATCCAGGCGGATAAGACACGTCCTTGTCCTACACCTTGTCCGATTGGGAACGTTCGACTTGTCTCACCGGCATATTTGACACATGCAGTAGATTCGTGATACGACTGACGTATGATATGCCAGGCTTTCCCTTGCACACCAAGGATGAATAATTTTAGGAGTAGTCCATTGTGCCAGATGCGATCAAACGCTTTCTCATTATCAAGAAACACAGTGTATACGTTAGAAGACCTTTCCGTATAGAAATATATGACTTCTTTGAGTATGTAGGTAGCTATGTTTGCACCGTGTTCTCGCCTGAAGCCACATTGTAATCTATGTGGGAAGTCGGGCTCCATATATTTGATATGTCTCTCAATTCTCTCTAATAGGATCTTTTCGAACAGTTTTCCCACCACTGACGTCAGAGTGATACCTCTGTAATTTGCAGGATCCGATCTGTCCTTTTTGTTTCCTTTATATATTGGAATAATTGTACCAGATCTCAACAGTGCAGGGCTGTAGCATGTTCGTATCATCATGTTAAACAGTTGAGTTAAGTGTTTTAGAAGCATATCTCCAGCGAAATAGATATGTTCATTTGTGATTTGGTCCGGTCCTGGTGACTTTCTCATTTTTAAGCTTTGTTTCAGTCGTTTTAGTTCGTGTATTTCTATGTCTCTCTTCAGTATAGGATCATCGTCCAGAAGTGGTATCTTTGAGATGTTGTTTATTCTAGAGTCCGTCTCAACACGAAAGTCGTTGTCAAACTCCGGCCGGTCGAGAGGTGATAATAAATCTGCATAGTAGTCTGCCCACAAGTTGCACACCTCTGATGGTGTATTGCAACAGCGTTCTTTGTACTTGAGGTGTGTATTTACAGTCTTAGGTTGTCTTTGTTTCTTTACAATCCTGTAGAATTCAGCAATATCTACTTCACATGCTGAGTTTATTTCAATATATTTTTCTTTATTCCATTGTCTCTCAGCCTGTCTTTTGCAACGTCGGAAGTCACATTTAGCCTGTTTGTATAGGGTATACGAGTCGTTACCGGCACCCCGAGGCCTGTCTTCTGCTGACCACAATCTTTTCGCCTGGCGCATCTTGTAATGATAGAGGTCAAGGTTTGAACTCTTCCAGTAAGGTTTCAGGTGAGCTCTATAGTGTCCACGTGGTATGAACTTAGCAGCAGACGTCTTTAGTGCGCTGACAATCGAGTCAAAATAACTCTCTATTACATCAGCTCCTATATTCCCAGTGTCAGGCATTACATCACCAAGCAATCTGTGAACCTCGGCTTCATACATACTTAGTTCTAAGTGACTAGCTTTTGTCCATTTGTACGTCTGTATATCACTGAACGAGTCCTTTTTAACTAAAATAGCAACTCCACCTTCGCCTCTGTATCCTCTCTGGTCTTCTTTGATTTTTACCACGGCGTCATATGACGAACTCAGCGAGTCGAAAAATGTCTCAGTTCTTTTGGTCAACCAGTGTTCAGAAACAGTTAACACATCACATTTGTTAGCTATGTTTTCAAGGTACTGGCGACTGTACAGTGCACCTCTGGTATTCCAAGTGCCGATGTTCAGCATGAACAGTATTAGGAGCAACCTAAACATGTTTATGGTTACTTATTTCCAGCATCCCGCCGCGGGTAGGACACCCATTCGCGGCATTTTACATTCTTTGGCCAAAAATGTTCATTTTCAAGAACTTTATGTCCTGATCCAGTGTCAATGTTGATCCGCAGTGTATATGTTGGGTACATACCGGTCCAGTGTTTCAAAAGTCTGACCATGCTCACATGGACATCTTGTTTCTTGGCGTATGCTACAATAGCATCACGAACTACGTCAAAGGGCATATCAGCTTTGATGTTTGACAGTGCAAGTGTTTTTCTTTTAAATCTAGGTGAAGCCCCCTTGAAAGCCCTGTCCCATTCACCGTCAAAGTGTATGTTTCTTTGTGAGTGAGATATATCATTGTTGGAACGTTGCCCGTACTCTTGTAATGTCTCGCGACGTATACTTTGTCTATCCTTTGCCTGAATCCGTGTATCACTGTGACATGTACTCAGGATTACGTCAGCGCTATCATCGTCACATGATCCATCACCCCTGGCGGGTGTATGGGAATTATACTCCACCTCTTTGGAATATGTTGCCTGTGTATCTATGGATGCTCCAGGCTGTATACTGCCGTTTTCAGGAGTTTTGGTGGATTTACGCATTGGAGGACTCGTTAGTGTTTCAGAGTACAATAGTCTATCTCTGTTATTCAATGAATTCAGTTTTCCATCAATATCACTTGTCTTGCGAGAGATTGTGTCAATGCTCGTTTTAAGTTGATCTTTAAGGAGGCTGATCTGTGAGTCTTTATCCTTCATTTGATATACTAAGACCCTGATATCACTGCGTAGTTTTAGTTCCGCGGTATGAAGTCTTTCTAATTCTCCAGTAGCAGTTATCAGCTCTTTATTTTTCTCCTCCAATGATCGGTTGATGGCTTTGATGTTCAAGTCAAATTTCTCACACAGATGCTCAATTTTGCGATCAACGGACTGTGAATGTTCCATTAAGCAATCATGCATTTCTAAAACTTTGGCAAACATGAGTGATGTAATGTCCATAGTCTTCTGTGATTGTTTTTCTTGTTGGCAAGAAACAGAATCAATGACAGTGTCCTCAGGGTTTCGGCTCTTTTGCTTCTTCAAAACCTCTTTCTGGAGGACGTCAGGGTGGACAGATCCTGTTATAAATCCGTATAGATAAAACACATCTGAAGCATATTTCTCTGTTATGCTTTTTCTTGAGTTTTCCCTTTGTACCCTCTTCATAAGAAATCCAATGGGCACATTTTGACACCTCTCCTTGGCTATATCATAAAGACTGTATCTCACCTCGTTCAGCTTGTCTTCATCCCCTGTATATAACTCGACCAATTCACTTTCGAATGAAATCCTGTCAAGTTGTCCAAGCTTCTGGTGTATCTCACGGAATATGTCATTGTCTATATCCTCCACTGGTTGTGTGTAATAACGAGTGTCTCCCTCGTCACTCTCGGAGCCGCTCATTGTGTTGTAGTGAGGTCTATTGTTTATCAATCAGTCCAGGGTCTGCGGCTTGGCTGGCTGGACAGGCTTGGGTACAACTATCCCTCCTTGGCTCAGCATTTTGAACTTAGAACTCACATTTTGAAACTTTGCAACAAGTTACCATGCAAGATATGCATTGTTTTTCATTTTACATACCATAATTCTGTTCAGCGCTTCAGGGGCATCATTTTAATGCATCTTGGAGCTTGTTGATAGAAGTATTAGAAGCAGAGAACTAGGTATTTTGCGAGAGCAGATTTTCACCAACCTTGCAGATTGACGCATGTACGTTTGTGGTGAGGTGCTCTAGCTCACTGAGATACCATGCCGCGGTTCAACATGAATACCCCACTCAGACACAATATACTGACCAGAGCCGACCAGTCCTTGTTTTAGCCCCTTAATGCCGAGCGCCAGACAGGGTAACAACAAGTACTACCTTTTAACGTCTTTTGGTATGACGCGGCCGGGGAGCCCGGACCTTCCGCTCTCCGGGCGGATGCTCTACCACGGGGCAAAATAGCAGAAGACATCATATCTAATTCGTACGAAACATACAAAAATTTGGATTCAGAAATTACATACGTATCTACTGAGTTTTTACATGTTCATTTAATAATGGCAGATACTGTATTCTTCCACGTATTAATGTTCCTTATCTTCGCACACAGGGACAGGTATCTTCATCAGCCCGACTGTTGTACTGGAGGGTGTGGGGTCCTCAGTGGGCTTATCTCTCCTTGTGTGGACGCTGTGTGGAGTTGTGACCTACTGTGCTGCCATGTGCTACGCTGAATATGGTACACTTTGCATTGAAACATGCAGAACTGTCATGCGAAACGTCATTTACAAAACGTGTATGAACTCAAATACTCATACAATGCAGTGCAGGGACATTTTAAAAGTAGATTCACATATTTCATTTTAATACAATTCTGCTCTTGAAAGCATATTTAGCATAAAAATATTATGTGGTTGCCATAAGGCGAATAAATTGTTAGACTGAAGGTCGAATTACGCATACGTATTTATTTGGTTTCCATTGCTTCCGTATGTGTTTTAAGGTGGACATATAAAGGTGAAACGATACAGATCTTCGATATTGTTATGGTTACCATATTTGAACAATCTTTCTGATTTTGGAATTTTGTAGCGTTTGCCGGTATCAATATTAAGACTTGTTTGAGCACGAGTAAAATCGGTAGAAAATGTACACAAATTTAAGTATTTCTGACGGTGTTATAGTGCTATTCCACTGACAAATACATTGGCATATGGATATCCCACTCAAACACAGCTCATTGAGCTGACCATAACGGGTTTTATCAGCTTTATGCCGAGGCAAGGTAACATCAAATACCATCTTTTAACGTCTTTTGGTACGACGTGGTGATGGATAAAATCCCCGACCTTCCGCTGTCATTTCCGATTTCGACGTTGGTTATTAAGTATTTAGCAACATTTCGGTCAACTGTTACACCAAATCCTTCCAGTGTCTTCACGTTTATCAGTTATTAAGGGGCATGTGCATGCAAATTTGGTTCATGCTTTTAACATTAAAATTATGAAGAATGCTGACTGTTCCAGGCACGCGTGTTAAGAAATCCGGTGGCACCTACACCTACATCCGAGAGGCGTTTGGAGATCTGGCGGGATTTGTGTTCCTATGGACTCAACTGGTTCTGGTGCGTCCTCTGTCTGTGGTCTTGGCGTCCTTGGCATCTGCAGAGTACATCATGAGGCCACTCTTCCAGGCCTGTCCTGACATGGCACCAACAACATCCAAAGTCATGCTCGGCTTTGTCATACTTGGTACATATGTCTTTTGTTTACAGGAAACAGTACCAATATTTAATCAGTACATTATCATATAAATTCAAACGTTACAGTTCAGGCACCAAAGAAATATTTTGTTTGACCCAAATTCGAATTTGCCAAAATAACGTTCGTAACAATTTGGATGATATGAGTTGGCTACGTTGTTGAAGAGGCAATTAACTCAATCGATCACGTGTTTTGTGACAGATATTTTTTACAAAGTGTCTTTTGATCAAAACTGCATATGTCGTAGATAGGCAGTTACTTTAACACACATAACCACGCACGTCTTAATCCTAGAGGCTTCTTTATGCAGTCCAAAATGCAGGTGTTGATACATATATTGCATCTACAATACCGTGTACCCTTCTGGGGCTCTTTATAGTCCAATGTAAATCGATTCATAGACCCTGCAAATACCAATGTGCGCTAATGTTAAAGGGTTCTTTGTGATGGCCAACATGTACAGTGTACGACTGGGTGCCCGGCTGCAGACCATTGCAACTGTTTGCAAGGTGTTTGCCCTTCTCAGTATCATCGTAGGAGGGCTGCTACATTTATGTCAAGGTCAGTGTTTTCTGATACACGTCAGCTAAATAAAGCTATATCACGTTTGTCCTGTAAATAGATTAATATTCCACACGATCTCCATTTACTACAAGTGTGAGACGCTGTAACACCCCCCCCCCCCCCCCCCCCCCACCCCCCACCCCCCCCCACCCACCCCAAAAAAAAAAAAAGAAAAAAAGAAAAAAGAAAAAAAGAAGCTAGGCCACAACCTTATTCGCAACTACCTTGACCCTGAAGGTTTAACTTTAGATACGTTTGATTTACAGGAACGAAATATGTTCTATGTTAGCGCAATGATGAGAATACAGCAACTCCCTCCTAAATACAGGAGTAGATCTGACAATTCAAGTACAAGCCACTAATTGAAAATGTATGTTTGAAAAGATTACACTTTTAACAGGTCACACAGAAAACTTCAGCGATCCGTTCAGGACCACCACCTTAAAACCCGGCAACGTTGCTATGGCAATCTATGCTGGATTGTATGCATATGGCGGCTGGTAAGCTGTTTGTAGTGTTATTTAGAAATTAATTTCACGTTCGTTATACTTCAACCGCTCATTATACCGTTACTAGTGTCCCTAAAAAATAGAGATGAGAGAAATCGAGAGAACAATGATCATACTTATCCAATCCTTACGTCGAGCCTACAAGACAATTTTTGCTCTTAGACTTGAAAGTAATATTCAGTATCATGTCAGTTTTCTCAAGTGACCAAGCTTTATCTCTTGAATGCAAAAGATGAATAAACACGATCTCTGTTGGGACCGGCCCATGAAGATCCGGAGTAGAATAGGTATTTAGCAACCCCTGCTTGCTGTAAATATCGACTATGCATGTAGTGAGAGGCAACTAGCTTGTCGTAAGAGGCGACTAACGGGATCGGGTGGTCAGGTTCGCTGACTTGGTTGATCCACGTCATCGATCCCAGTTGCGTGGATCGATGCTCATGATATCAGTCACTGGATTGTCTGGTCAAGACTCGATTATTTACAGACCGCCGTCATACAGCAGGAATATTGCTGAGTGCGGCGTTAAACAACGAACCAACCAAACAATCTGTTGGCACCTTCCTTTCACATCAGGATACTGAGGTTCACGGTATTTTATCTTGAACATATGTATACTGATGTTTTGTATATTCAGTATCTACATAATGCAGTGTCGCTTTACCTTGGTAAACCTGAAAGATAAGGAAGTTTCAAAGTATTGTATCGTGAACATCTACATGCATGAGGTGTCACTGAATAGTATCTTGATAATGAGGTTTCAATGTGTGGTATCTTTAACATCCAGATAATAAGGTGTGACTGGATTGTATCTTAAAGAACCATATAATTTTATCATTGAGTAACAGTGGTTAAGAAAGGACTGCTAGTGATTCTCTTATGCCATACAGATAATAAAAAAATAATCCTTGTCACATGTTTGAATGAACAATCCTTTTACGTCATACACAGGGACAACGTTAATATGGCGGTAGAAGAAGTCATGAATCCTCACAGGTAACCAAAGCATGACCCACAACTCATTTTAAGTAACTATTAGATGGAATACTGTTTTTATTTAACATGTCCAACAGTGATGACATTCTTTCAGCGCTGCAGATACCTTATATCCCATAATTTAAAGACTGTAATACTGGCGCTGGAACACTTACGAAATTAGAGCCCTGGTGAATGATTGATACATTAATACTGACATAAACAGTTTCAAATGACTACCAATATCCTAGTTCTTTACAATCGGGTATTTCAGATAATTTCCGTCTCATTTGATAGAACGATCCCTATATGCATTCTTGGTGGCCTTGCCATACCGACCTTGGCCTACATTCTAGGAAACGTTGCCTACCACGCAGTTCTCACCAATGACGAGATCCTTTCTGGTATTGCTGTTGCTGTTGTAAGTAAACAAAACATTCATACAAATATGTTGTAAAATCTTTGAGCAGGCTTCACTTTCCGTTTGTCACTTTTAACAGAAATGTGTTTCTGAACGCCACACTGTCATTGCAGACCTTCGGAGAAAGAAAACTCGGATTATTCAAGTGGATCATTTTACCTTGTGTGGCGATATCGGCAGGAGGGATTGCAAATGCTGTTATATTCACGTCATCCAGGTAATATTGCTCATTGACGTTAATGCAAAATATAGCTTTTAACACAGATTTCTTATGATTATTACAATGGTATTATCGCTTTATTATACAACTTTAAGATAAGATATGGCGTCACAGTCATATATAGAAAAGTGCCAAATAGTAAGCTCCCTGGTGTCCTTCAAACTTGAAATATATTCTAATGTGTTGTCTGCACTAAATGTATTGCAACACATTCTTTGAATATTGTGGTAACCGCAGCTTTGTATTAATCTTTCCTATGCTTATTTCATATAATTATGTAAATACGCCTACCGACAATGACTGTTGTACTTTTCTAAAAATATTAGCTTCCGCGGTGATGCAACCGTCAAATCGGCTGTTTCAATCAATCATAGGGGGGTTATTTTGATTTGATAGCTTTGATTGACCAATCAAAATAGAGTATTTTCCAAATTCCTAGAATTTACGTTATCATTAACCTGTACAACCGACCCTCGCATTTATAACCATGAAATAATAATGTAATTAGTGTGTTTTACTTTTAACAAAGTTTTCTTTGGGACCTAATGTAAATAATGTGAACTTCGACTTTCAGTTTGTCATCCAAACATTAGATTTCTGTCAATGGCAGGTTTAATACTTACCCCACACTCAGACAACAAGTTCAAAATCACATAGTAGAACCATTGATAACAACAAGTAAAATTACCAACACATTTAACAGGAATTAGTATTGGGTATCGGTGTTTTCAGGTTAAACTTCGTTGGGGGACGTGACGGACTTTTCCCTCGATTTCTGGGTATGGTCAACGTTCAGAGAAGGACTCCGCAGCCATCCATCATTACTCTGGTATGACAGCTTTCACCTGGGGAAGGTCCGAACATATTTAATACAGATATTCAATAATCCAGCATGACAAAAACGTCTGATTTAGCTGCTCATTTCTTAAGACGTCAGTCACTGGCAGTTCAGTGACCATCAGGCGTTCAAATTCCAGACAAGATTCCACCGGACAAAATGTAACGTCATGTAAAGACATATCAATTAAAATGAGTTCTCTTAGTTTGACAATACACAAATTGTGATTAAGCAGTTTTTTCTACCTACTTTTTGTTCAGCCTGTGTGAAGGTGAGGGGAAATGGGCCCTTTTGACGCGTTGAAAATTATCTCACTCATTTAGCAACGTGCATGAATGTGTGTACGTGTGTGTGTGTTCTTCGAAAACGCTCTGTCCACCACACGAAGGAGGGCGTCTATTTGTGCAAAAAACTATCAAATTATATTGCAGAACAATTCTAGTTTGTTGTGATTTTTGTCATTAAAAGGCAGTATGTGTTGAATGTGTGCCTATGAGGTCTGTCCTCATGTAATCCATCTTCCATTTTCCTTTGTCATTTAATATTTCACAGTTTCTGGTTGCCGTCCTGGTTATGTGCCTTGGAGATGTAAGGAGTGTCATCGGAGCATACTCTTTCTTCAAAGCAGGAGGGGAATTCTTGGGCGTACTGGGAATGTTCAGAATTAGACGCAAACATCCAGCTACCAAACAAACATACAAGGTACGTCCCTGTGTATCTGCAGCACATAACGTTCTCTCATGTATATCAATTCCATTTCTAAATGAAATCAACGATTGAATATTGTACCTCAATGCATGTGCACTGTGAATGTATGAATCCATAAAGTTGTTCTTCTTCATAAGGTACACTGGTTGTTCCCGGTCATCTATGTTGTATTTTTCCTGGCTCTGTCCATCACGGCCGTCGTGTACGATCCTAGAACATACCTGGTCCCCTTCCTCATCATGCTTCTGGGTGTCCCTCTGTACTATATGTCTAGAAGTCGCTGGTGGCAAAGTGGACATCTCGCCACGTTTAATAGTAGGTTTTTGCGTCCATACCTCAAAAACTAAGATAATCTTTGTCACAAACCCTACCACACAATGACTGATTAGAAGAATAAATTGAGCCAACCACTCAGTGATACCTTGGAAATGGAATTTGGTATCTGTAACATATAAAAAATGACAACATTGCCAGAAATACAAATATTAAAATAAAACTATATGTGTCTGTAGTATGAGGTGTACTTACTGTTTCAGAATGACCCGAACCTCAGAATGTCTAATAGATGTCAATTTCTGTGTTGCAGGATGGATAATTATGATATGTCATCGCCTTTTGTTATGTGAACATGCCTCTCAGGAAGCAGGCTGACATCCTTGTGGACGTGTTCTCTATTTGCATGTGAGTGTGTTTACTGACAGCATTCGTGACATCAAGCTCATGTTACATGTATGAAGAGAAAATGGCAATATCCATTTGGAAGAAAACCTTCACACAAACAGTACCCCGTGATGAAGGATTTGTATACGTCCAACTGATCGTGTGTAATAGTTAATCAGTACTGAAGGATCGTTTTCGGTTTATGTCATAAAAACGTAAATTTAATCGGGGTTCATACTTATAGTCGACGTGTGTTGTAGTTTCTTATTAATAATGCACTTTTATGTTGTATATTCTCAGATCGTGTCTAGTCAATTGAAATGTACTGTAATGACCTGAATTGATTATTCAAAATATAAACGTCACTATTTGAGGGCGTGTATCATCTGTACGAGAGTTGATCGATCTTCTGAACATTGCCTAGTGTGAGCGAAAGTGGGCAAGTGGTCAAAAACGCCAGGCGAGCAAGCACCAGGTGGTAAGACCGTATCCGGCTAGTGATCAGGTTGTTATTCAGCCTTGGCACCAACAATGTTTACAGGTCACTACCCCTTGTGTATGGTACATACACCTTGTGCATTCAAACGAAACCACTCGTCCGATGGTAGATGACCAGATTGTGGAAACACGAATACGCACATACAACCGAAAACACAAGTGTCAAAACCTGTAGTGTCACCCTAGGCTAGTGGCTTAGTTCAAATATACCTCTGTTCACCAAGCAGGGAATGGGTACCTGATATGTGAGTTGGATTAAAAACCTTCTTGCGCACCCAGGCAGCTTGGGTTGTACACTCACCAGGGAGTTGAGAATGTACCTGGAATGCAAACGGATCCACTCGTCGGGGAACAAAAGGAAACCGCATTTGAGCAGATACTAGTACCTGGATACCCGCGGTATATAAATCATGCTACTACTACTAATAATAATATACTGAACCGCAAAATAAACGTCATCCCAAGGAACATTGCATGAAAAGTTGTCATTTTAATATCTGGGTAACATTTGTCAAAGTTTCTAAAATTTAAGATTGAAATGCACATGCGTTTCCAAAGTTCTTGCCCTATAAAAATCCACCCAGATCGGATAACGTTCATTCGTTATTGAATTGCTACCACATGCCAAGATTGACAAGAAATCAGCGACACCAAGCCCGTGGACGATTGCAAGCTGGACAAACCTCCCGGCATGTAGACATTGCATTTCAAGTCCACGAAAGGACCATGTACAGGCTCCAGCAACGGTACCAGATCACCAACACTACAGATGACCGACCACGCAGTGGGAGACCAGGGGTCAACACCCGACGTCAGGATCGTCAGATTGTGCGCATCTCCAAGATCATCTTGTTACGGAAACTGCTCGACAGACCATTGGAACACACCGGAGACACATCAGTGCGGACAACGTGCGTCGACGATTGACAAGCAGACACCTCCACTGTCACAGGCCACACCGAGGACCCATTCTGACACCACGTTATCGCCGGGACCGTCTTCAATGGGCAACACAGCACCAGCAGTGGAGAGAGTCCTCTTCTAAGACGAGAGCCGTTACTGTATCTCAACAGCAGATGGCAGACGGAGTCTGGTGACGCCGTGGGGAACGTTATTCGGATGCTTGTGTTGTTGAGAGAGACTCGTGGGGAAGAGGCAATGGTGTCACGGCAGCTCGGTACATTGATCAAGTCTTGAGACCACACGCCATACCTCATTTGGCACGTCGCCGCCATCACGAGTTTTTAGCATGATAATGCCCGTGCCCACACTGCGAAAAGCAAAAGTCTCAGCAAAAAGAGACTTCCTCCAGCGGAATGGCGTCAGAGACATGCAGTGGCCGATTTATATCCCATTGAACACCTGTGGGACGAGACGGCTGAATGACGTCCGACCCAGGCCGACAACTACGGCTGAACTGCATCACTCGTTCCTCAGAATGTGGGCTCAACCACCTCATACATTCCATGTATCGACGTTGCACAGCAGTCATCAATGCACATGGCGGACTCACGAGATACTCACTTGTGATGCCATTTTCTCAGAGACTAGTATTGTGTCTTACATTAAGAACATTTGACACTTTCATCCTTGATGATCAGTTTTGCCAAGTTTAATCTTTTTAATATGTCTCAAAGTATGTTTACAGTAAGACAAATATGATTTGAACATTTATATAAACTGACGGCCAATAGAAACGTTACCATCGATATTTCTAGGATAAAATATGACCAACACAATTTGAAGCAGCAATAACAATTGTATTGTAGAAATTCATCATTCAGAACAGAAAAATGCGAATTTACTAATTCAACAACAAAGTCCTTGACCTCCAACAGTGACATTTCTTGACAAGGGGTCATTCCTCCAGTATTCGATCAACAACATTGGTTACAACTTTTAGGTGGCGACGGCCCAGACCGTTCAATACGGGATATGATCTCCATGAGCGGCAATACATCTTCGAATGCGGCGTCGAACTGAGTAGACAAGCGTCTTAACATTGACTGCAGGTATCCGATTCCATTCCTCACGTAGGGAAACGATCAACGCTTGTCTCGTGAAGGGAGGATGTTGACGTTTCCGAAGACGACGTCCCAGCTTGTCCCAGAGATGTTTTATGGGTGACAGATCTGGTGATCGAGCTGGCCACGGTAGGACAGTCACGTTGTTGGCGTTGAGGAAGTCTCTAGTAATACGGGCTTTATGGGTAGTGGCGTTATCTTGTTTGAACACCGTCCGTTGTTGACGCTGAATGAAAGGAAGAACCACTGGCCGTAAGATATTGTCAATGTAGCATTGTGCTGTCAGATTGCCTTCGATGATGAAAAATTCCGTCTTCTCGTCCCCGCAAATGCCGCCCCAGACTATCACACTTCCGCCCCGTAAGGTTCCACCTCCTGGACACAATAAGGAGCCGTACGTTCACCACGTCGTCGATAAACTCGCGTCCACCCATCAGGTTTGAAGAGTTGGAACCTGCTCTCGTCACTAAACAGCACTCGCCGCCATTCCCTTTTGTTGCCATCGCTGAGTTTGCCTGCACCATGTCAATCTGGCACGTCGATGTTGACGGGTCAAGGTCATATGCCCTTGAAAGGGCAATAAGCCCGGAGACCATAATGTCGTAGTCGTCTGGTCACTGTTTGTCTGCTGAACGGATGTCCTAAGCTGTTGGCAGCTGATGATGTCACAGTAAGAAATCTTTTCTTTAGGTGAAGAACCCGTAAACAGCGGTCATCCTGCGGGGTCGTGACCTTTGGTCTGCCACTCCGTGCTCTGTCTGCGGTTCTGCCAGTCTGTCGGAGACGTGCGACCAGTCTGGTAATGGTCTTGGAGCAGTTCATGTTAATGGCAACCGCTCTCTGTGTCGCTCCCATCTGCAGCATACCTATGGCTCTCTCCCTCTGGACAGCGGTCAATCTTCTCATGTTCGTAAGTGTTAATCATCGCAACCAATGATAGGGAACAGATCCGTGCGTAATTTATACCCGCAAATTGCACGATAATTTGGGAAAGAATGTTTTAAAAAATTGCTGACAAACACCAATATCTCCCAAAGTCCGTAAAGCACGTGCAAAGAACGACAGAGAACATGAAGGCTGTATTCGTGAGATGTGTTCTTTACTGTTTTTGAACAGGTTGGCATCTTTGTTTCAAAGTGGCAAATCAGTAAATGTTGATAACGTTTCTTTTGGCCCTCGGTTTATATATAATGTGACGTTTCTTTTGCGGTTCAGTATACTGATTAAAAATATTGACCTTAAGACATGAGGATTTTGACAAAAACAATCCCCTGTCTCCATTGATATACTTTTGTTGGAGGGATTGTATCCCAGTTTCGCAGCAGTTCTCTTGGTTGTCCAAACGTTCTCCAGAGATGCTATGACGTCATCGTTCGACTCGAAAAGGGTTCCAGCTGGGGCCTTCTTTATATTTGGGAACAATTGGAAGTAGGACGGCGTCAGATCAGGAGAATAAAGTGTTTGTTGAAGGAGTTCAAAGCCACACTCGTGAACTGTAGCCATGACCATGCATACATGTTCTTAGCTTCCCACTTCTCTTAACTTCCATCCCGTAATTGCCTCACAATTGCAGCATAATATGTTCCTTTTATTGCCTGGTCTTTTGGAATATGCAATGTGACACGATGACACCTTCGGCATCCCAGTACACGCTTAACCTTTCCAGATGACAATACTGGTAACGTCGAATGATTCCACTATTTGTTTTGATTGTTGATTGGAATCAAACTACAAGCGTTGAACATAGATGTCATCCATATCGTCAAATCGTCACCAAAGAAATTCTGGATCAGCTTCAAACAGGGCTAAATTATCATGAGACATTTTGTGCCTGGTGCATTGTTTATCAGTTGTCATAGGTTTTGGAACCAAACGAGCTGATACCTTCTTCATTGCCATGGTGTCTGTGATAATGGAATGTACTCTCTCCTGTGATTTGCCGTCGGAACTAGCAATGTGACGCTCAGTCATTCGACAATCGGTTCCACCATTTCGTGAATTCTCTAAATCATTTCCTGATGTCACAGCACTTTCAGAACGGTGTCGTCTTCAAGGCTCACCCCAGCCATGTTTAAAACTATTTACGGTGGGAATGGAAGTGACATTCTTCCCTAGTATTTTGCGCACGTCTTCATGAATAGCGTTTTGTGATAATGCTTTTTTCTGCAGCTACACGCGGATTGATTACTTCCTTGCTCAGATTTGGCGTTATACGCATGGGACATTTCGCAGATGATTTACAGCATGTATGCGATTGACACAACGCACCTGCTGCAACCCATATTTCTTATTAAGTAACGCAATGTCTCATTAAATAACGCAACGGTTGTTGGGATAGGGCATGGCTTACATGGCTGAACGTACCGAAAACGGATATTCCTTTAAAAATAACAAACAAATACGAAAACAAATGTCAAACTGCAACTTAATACCTTGCCAGCTCAAACAACTTACATGTTTCTTTATAGGAGGTGACTGATTGGTATATAAAGATAATTGGTCTGATATTGCTTACAATTTAAAAGATTTGTGCAATGTTATCATGTGGTCGACCATGTTCTGTTATGGTAAACAGTTCGCTTGTCACAACACTCGGACCTGTCTATTCTTTTGTTATCAAGGTTTATATCAACATCGATGGCGCATTATGCATGTATGGTATTTAAGAAATAAACGACTCGTGGACCTTGCCGATTACAACCTGTGTCTAGTGGAATTGTGATGACTGGTTTGGACTGTTAATGGTGTGTAAGTTTAAATATTGCTAAGATGGTTATTATTAACACCTACCTCCTGGGAGATCCACACTGGCCAATTGACACAAACTTGCTCCAATGAGCCATTGTAATGTATCAGGCCTAACGCAGACATAGAATAGAATTGCATTAAATCCCCACTCATATTAATGTCCATTTTATTAGAACGAACACAAAAGCAATTCCCAGGTATCAAACTGTTAACATTAATGTTGAACAAAGAGTAAGTATGACATGTTGCAGGATTATCTCCTTTTATCAACAGATGTTGGAAGTACATAACAAATCAAACATACCTTGAACTAGGTTGCAAGTTGATGTAGGCTTAACAACCGATTTTACTTGAAGCAGAGTTGACAGTGTCAAAGTCACAACTTTTGGTTCCTGAAGTATTTCATTGTAGAAAGCGGATACCTTGAATACGCCAACATTTAACTATGAGAATCACGTTTTCGTCTAGTCGAAGAGTTTTCCTCCAAGACAGGACTCGACTCATGTGACAGGCTGCACATTGAACATCCTATTTGAATGTACTACATGTGCTATGTTATGTGTATATACAGACCTAATACAACG